GTGTGCAGCACATTTTATGGAGGACTGTTTCCTGATCCTGGTAGAGTAGACTACAATGCCGGCTGTTCTGACACAGATTGTAAGTACGTTTTTTTTATATTTAAAGAGTTTTTATATTTAATATTTTTTATATTTAAAGCGAGTTTTTTGGGCAGTGTAGAGTAGGGCTTGTTTGTCATTTCTCCGATCACAAATGCAGGTTTTATGTTTACGCAGCGCGATGCAACGCAACGCGTAAAAGGACAGTATAAGTCATTATAATCCATAATTATGTCCCCACTGGATGCAACTAATGCCTCATTTATAATGGGTTTTCATGTTTCTGAATCATCACTCCGGCCTGACAGGGCATCATCACAATATGGTAATGGGCATAACATTTCCGTCACACGCTTGAGGTATTCGGCCAATCATAGCGTATGTGGACAATAATGTGTTTTTTTAACCTTAAACCGCATAAACACATTTAATTACACCAAATACACAAAATAATGTTCTTTTTAGCAACATCATATGACCCCTTTAAGCACACAGTGCAGCTGAGCAGGAATATTAGCCTGCTGTCACTTTAAGAGCCGCACGGATCCAATTTACTGTTACACGCGTATTTTCATTTTCAACACTTTACGTTCATTTATTACATGACCGACGAAGGTATACATGAATAATCACTAAGCGCCGCATTTTAACACATTTCTGCGTGTATTTTACCATTTAGGCGCACACCTTGAGCTAAAAGATGAATTTGCATGTCCGTGTGCTGTTCCGTCTCTGAGCGCATATATCTTCCTGAGGAGCAGCGCAAGTTCTCTTTCACGCTTTTAAAAACATGAATAAATCTAATATACTTAAATCAAGCACGTCCCATTTGGCAAAAGTCACGTTACATAATTTTACTTATTTGCATGTGAAATTGGGCTTTTATGGAGGAACGAAAGCGCGGCGCTGGAAAGGGGGCGGAATGGGACGCAATAATCATTTTATCTCAATTATTGTATTTTCATAATCGTTGGAGGCCGAAATAGAAACTGTTTTTCGATTAATTGCACAGCCCTAGACTGGAGCTTGTTGGGCATCAAGACTCCAGTCGGACTTGGCGCGGACTGAAGCTTGGTGGGCTTCAAAACTCCAGTCAGACTCGGCACGGACTGGAGCTTGTTGGGCATCAAGACTCCAGTCAGACTCGGCACGGACTGAAGCTCGGTGGGCTTCAAAACTCCAGTCAGACACAGCCTGGACTGGAGCTCGGAGTGCATCAATACTCCAGTAAGATTCAGTGCAGACTGGAGCTCGGAGCGCATCAATACTGCAGTCGGAGTCAGTGCATCAATACTCCAGTAAGATTCAGTGCAGACTGGAGCTCGGAGCGCATCAATACTGCAGTCGGAGTCAGTGCATCAATACTCCAGTAAGATTCAGTGCAGACTGGAGCTCGGAGTGCATCAATACTGCAGTCGGAGTCAGTGCAGACTGGAGCTCGGAGTGCATCAATACTCCAGTAATATTCAGTAATATTCAGTGCAGACTGGAGCTCGGAGTGCATCAATACTGCAGTCGGAGTCAGTGCAGACTGGAGCTCGGAGTGCATCAATACTCCAGTAATATTCAGTAATATTCAGTGCAGACTGGAGCTCGGAGTGCATCAATACTGCAGTCGGAGTCAGTGCAGACTGGAGCTTGGAGGGCTTCATTACACTGGTCGTTGACGGTGTGGGCTGGAGCTTGGAGGGCATCGACATTCTGGTCAGCCACAATGCAGGCTTGAGTTTGGTGGACTTTTTTACTCTCCTACAACCGAAAAGTACCTTCCAAATCGACTTTTTCTTTTCATATTTGTCCTCTTTTCTTCCTCCTTTCACCCCATCCACATGATGAGGAAGAAAAGAGGCACATTGTTGCACTGGAGCTTTTAGGATGTCACCATTCCAGTCTGACTCAGTGCAGGCTGCAGCTTGGAGGAGGCCTTGAACACTGGAAATCTGGTTTAAAGAGGAATGATATCAACCAAAATTATTATGAATGTAACTTAAATATGGCACCTTATTAGCGCCTACTCATATTACTGCAGGTACACTAGCTATAAATTATGAAGTGATTCTTTTATGATGTTTGACGGCTCTACAGTGCAAGCAAGGGCAAGTAAAAAATTACTTTAGCGCAAAAGTCCAAGTGACATCATAAATAAACAACCATGCTGAATTTAAGCCCCTGTATATATATTATATATATATATATATATAGGGACTTTTTAGGGGCTGAAATTCAACATGGTTGTATAATACAATAATACAATATAATAATAATAATAATTATTATTATTTATTTATTTAATTAATGACAAGCCATTAGAGAGAAAAAAATAATTGGATTCTTATTTTATTTGGTTAAATATCATATTCATAAATGTAAAAAGGCACCAAACTTTGTACACTCTAAGTGTCAGTATCTTAAAGCACTGGTGTAAGAAACACCAAGTCAGTCAGTCAATCAATCAATCAATCAATCAATCATTAAAAATACTATAAACTGTTGTAAAGCCTTGACCTTTTATGCTTTTTAAAGGCTTGTTTTTGTATTAGTGATGTTGATTAGACTTAAATATAATTCTTTAAATTCATGTTTTTTTATTTAATTAAAAATGTGTTATTTTTTTATTTATTTTGTAGCTATTCTCTACTTTTGTTGTCACTAAATAAAGCACATCATCAAAAAAATAGTAACATGCCATATTTTGACGATAATGTAAACAGGCATAGCTTCCAGACATTAGAATGAAGACACCTTTGAAAAGCCAATTTATTAACTTTAATGTTTATTTAGTGTTGTAGATAAAAAGAACCAGGCATTTTGAGCAATGTTACTCTACAATTCCATTTTCAAAGCATATCAGTTATTCAGCTGATAAATACTTAAAAAAAAAAAATGTATATGTTATTTGTATGTGCTAATTTTGGGGGTTTGCCAGTCCAATAACACAGCATGCCAATCGCCTTCCAGCATTGCCATTCAGCAAGCTTTCCACATTCCCACCTCTGCCTAAATCATCCTCTCCTGCATGAATCACAACAGACCGGCCAATTATTGAGAGTCTCCCAAAGAGTGTTGCACTGGAGTCCAGTGATTGACGAATCTTCCCATTAACAGGAACAAAGTTCCCAAAGTCCCCTGGATGTTGTGGATGGTTCACACCGAGGGGATTGTAATGCCCACCTGTAGATCCGCAGCCTTTGCTTAAGTCTCCGTACTCATGAATGTGCATTGCTCTGGGCTGCTGGCTGTAGACAGGGAGACCATACAGTTTGAAAGTCACGCTCAGCTTTTCCTTTGGACCAGACTGTTTGAAAAAAACATGACCGTACACACAGGGCATTCCAGGTGATAACTGAGTGTTAGGGTGCATTCTACATACGGCCCGAAGGGAATTACTGTTCACTGGTAGGGAAACTGGATTTGAAGCATATGCCAAACCTGAGCGTGACCCACAGAAGTGCACATGGCAACTGAGCAAGAATGCTAGAAGTGGTAAAATGTAGAAGGATTTCATTTCTTCTTTTCCCTGTGGCAAAACAAAACACCTTAATCAGAAAATCATAAAGTCAAGTCAAATGTTACTAGTCAATATGCATTCAACATCAACACCCCCATCTTATTAAATGGCAATGTTGAAAATGGACTATAGACTCTGTGGGATTATTGAGACAACCTATATCCACAAAGGTGTTTATAAAAACATAAAAATATCCGAAACAATGTCACAAGCCTCGACGTTGCTAATCGCAAGAAAACAAAATCCATAAAGGCTAGTTAGCTTACATTTTTTGATTGTGTACAGTCGAATTTTGGTAATAAATATAGACGTACCTCCCGCGTTATGTCACCGTTTTTAAAAAGCACTTTTTATAAACGTGTTACTCGGTCGGTGTTCCTTCGCGTGTGACACATTTTAGGTTGTTGCTTTATACTTGCATAACTCAGGGGCGTAAACATTTCATATTTAGTAAATTATAGTGCTTGCAAGTTCTACAGATCAAATTTCATGCCTACCCACAATGTGGCACAGAAATCGTGTTTTATGAAATACAGTCTGTTAACATACGAAGATAAAGAATAATATAGTTTTTCCCATCTTGTTTGTCCTTCGTATATGTTTTAGCAGTGAAAAGATACAAAAACAAAAAGTAGCCTACTTGTAACTAACTCTTACAATTAACAACAAAAATCCTCATCCTAATTTTTTTTCAACGGATTCATTGTTTCGTATGATAAGGACAAGCGAGTAATGAGGTAGGCTATTTAAGATATTGTCGTCGAGTTTTTTGTCGTTCATTTTACTTGTATTTCTGTTCGCTCGCTTGGCGTGTCATCGTGACGTATGTGGTTCATTTACATGACTCGTTCAGTCTTCACTTCAGGACCAAGTGTTCCAATATACCGCAATATACGTCCTTTGCAATACACTGTATGTCTTTATGGTGGTACATCACACTCTTCTGTAAAAGAATCCATTGAGAAAAATGTAAAGCAATAAAATCACAATATCACCGTCGTGCAAACAGACCGCTGCTTTCAGATGTATATATTTCTTGTGCCTGTCGTTTTAAAGTGCGCATGCCTGAAAACTTGTGTCCTAAGCTACGCACGGGGAACCTCGTTTCGCCATCATTGCTTGGGGGAAAGTCCCCGGACTCTGGGCAGAGATGTCCTGCATGCAGAGCAGAGCGGTGGGTTGCGTAGCGCGTCAATGCTAAGACGTCCTGAGTGACAGAGCATAACGCTTGCAATCCAGGTTTGTCAATGAAATAGATATTCAAGTGAAGTACAAACGTGCTTCTACAGAACGGGGCTCATTCTCAGCTTGCGCAGTGTTTTATGTCTTAACTCTCTAATAGGCCTATACTGGAAATGTGGGAAACTGGATGGATAAATTGATTTTTATGAATATATGTAGAAGGTGTCAGTTATGTGAACCTGTGTCAGAAGTTATAACTCCAAAAATGACTGTGTGTCCCCTAGGGCTGATTTTCAAGGGATTTTATTCTGACAAAACCCGTTAATTAATTAAAATAATTTATAAGTAGGCTGTTACCTGCAATATTACATCAGCAGCATTGACAATTATAGGTTACATTTAGGCCTAGAATAAAATGTTATGAAATATAAAACAAAAATACAAAATCTAAAAAGAGGAATTAATTACAGAGACATTTAGTCGTTAAATTGTTTTGCCCTTTTGTTTTTATATTTACATTACATTTATATTTTTATTATACTGCTGTATTATGTTTAATTGACAGTTGTTAGCTCGCACATTATATTTACATTCATATTTATGTGTCTGTCTGTGTTTATATATTGTGTTTCTATACTGTTGCTCTATGTCAGCTTTTGAGAACTCAAATAAAGTGTTCTTAAAATCTTAAATCTTCATCGAACTTTGAGTTTAGGGGCATTTTTGTCACTATATCAGTGGCAATTTCGCCTCTAGTAGCCAATATTAATTCATAACCCTCTATTACACTGATCTTTTTTTTTGTAAATCATCTCATTAATCAACGATATTTTGCTAACACGGTCTAACACTGTGGTCTTACGGTTCGATCTCGCTTTTAATGAATCGAAGCTCCGGTTCCATATGAACTCCGGACGCGCCCAGCTGATCCCGCGATCCGCCCACATCTCAGCAACACCACCCCCCATTTGCTAAGCCGTCTGAAAATGCAAAACGCGGCATTTTATGGGTTGATCCTACGCATGCGCACATCTGATAGTTTTGTTTGAAGGAGTTCTCGTAGCCAGAGAAGACTGGACTGAATTTGTCCGGAAAGAGTGGCTCTCCACAAGGTTGCCAACTAACATCATATTTTAAAGGAACCTATGAGTGAAAAGCGCCTCTTTTTAAGCCGCAGTTCTTCTCGAAAAGGTGCATAGTTGCTTGATGCATTACTATCATCATGTTAGGGCATTATCCAAACGTGGAAAAATCGCAGCTTGTCAGCTACGTGGAGGATTATTTGGAATGTGTCGAGTCGCTGCCTTTGGATATACAGAGGAATGTTTCATTGTTACGAGAGATCGACACCAAGTATCAAGGTAAGCGAAACATTTGTGAAAGGTGCCAGCTCGATGCGTTGCATATTTACGTTCATTTACATCGAGTGCACTTCACCCTGTAGACCGGCTTCGTTTCGTTTCCTCACAATAACACAAAACGCATTTTTATTAAACATTTATCAGTGCTTCTAAAGCTGTCAACGCCCGTTGTGTTTTAGTTGTATTTGGTCTTTAGCGTATTCGGCTGTGTTTGTTCCAGCAACACTATCCTACAACCAGTGATCAGCCATTTTGACTAGTGCATACTCTCTGTACTGTTGTTTGGCTGTGCTCTTTTAACGCATCGCTTTAGTTGCCATAGTATCGACGTAATGGTGCTTTCAGTCGGCGTGTGTTTTGTTCGCATGTAGCCTAAACATCCACAGCTCGATGTCGACGCCTTCGGGTTTGACTTAACCGCTCGAAAATGAAGGATACCGTGCAAAATAATTTATATGCAATGGAAATGATTCATTCGCGTCTTAGTTCCTCATATTTTTATCATACCCACCGCGGAGGAGCAGCATGTATGCTTGGGCAGGTATGTTTTTGTTACACAGCGGCAGGGGTAGCACTAGAGCAACCCAGGCATGCACTGCGAACAGCAAACAGTCGACTGTATAATATGTTAAAGAGTGGCTTTGTAAAATGCATTGGGCGTGCACAAGCTGCCTCGCTTAATTTTCTAATATTCTGATTGAAGGTGTTTGTCACCACCTCACTTTCTCTGCTTTCTGTGCCACTCAGAGGTCCTCAAGGAGGTGGATGAGATCTATGAAAAGTACAAAAAGGAGACTGACAGTGGGCAGCGCAAGCGACTGCAGATTCAGTTGCAGCGGGCGCTCATCAGCAGTCAGGAGCTGGGAGATGAGAAGATCCATGTGGTCACACAGATGATGGAGGTGGTGGAAAACCGCTCGCGTCAGATCGAGGCCCACTCGCCTTGTTTCTTGGAGCCGGTGGAAGCAGAGCGACCGGCGGAGAAGGTGAGGCACGACCCTGCCAGCACCTCCGCAAACGTTATGCCCGAGCGCTCTTCTGCGCGACGACCCAGACGTCAACGCAACAGCGAGAGCCGTGACACTTGTGCCAACGGAGCCCTGGAAGACCTGGGAGAAGAGCCTCCGCAGCAGCCCCGTGAGAAAAAGTCCAAGTCGGCCAAGAAGAAGAAGCGCTCCAAGGCCAAGCAAGAGCGTGAAGCCTCGCCGGTGGAGTTCACCATCGACCCCAATGAGCCCACCTACTGCCTCTGCGAACAGGTGTCCTATGGGGAGATGATTGGCTGCGACAATGAGCAGTGTCCTATTGAGTGGTTCCATTTTTCCTGTGTTGGACTGACCTACAAGCCCAAGGGGAAATGGTATTGCCCCAAATGCAGGGGTGACAGTGAAAAGACTATGGAAAAAAGTGCAGATAGGGCCAAGAAGGATAGACGGTCCAGGTAGTGCCTTACAGAAGTTGTGCTAGATTGTTTAAGTGAAAATATGCCTGTGTGGGGATCGGCGATTTTTGTGTTTAACTTATGTTAAAAGGTTCTCCTCATGCACTTAGCTGAAAAGTTTCCAAACAGGTGCTGTTGTTGCTTTTGCATTAGGATGGAAAACGACCAACAGACGTAATTAACCCTGGAAACAGATGTTTAAGATACTGCCACTAATGTCCATAAGACAATGAGGAGTTCTTTTCTAAGCTTTTTTCCTCTTACTTGCTGATTTCGGTTGACCTTGAGAGTTTATATATGTTGGAGGTCCCCTGGTCCAGGGTAGTGCATGTTATTAAAAAAAAAAAAAAAAAAAGAGGAAAGTGATCAAAATGCACAGGGCTTGATGAACATTGTCAACACCTTTTATTTGCATTTTATTGTTCTTTCGTTCCACATTTTGGAAAATATATATGAAAACACACCTCTGCAATGTCTTCCAGTGAGAGAACAAATTCTTTGTTACTGTTTTGGAGTGGGTTTTTTTTGTTGTTAAAAATTCTTTTTTTAAGTTTCATCTATTTAAATAAATCGGTGCTTGTTATGTCTCTAATCTGCTTGTTGTCGTGTCATGTGGATAATATAAAAAAGAAAAGAATATAAAACGAAAGAAACGCTACACTCTAAAAAAAATGCTGTTAAATGGCACTGAAAGTGGTTCAATGGCTCATAATCATAGCAGAACCACTTTAAGTGCTATATAGCACCAATCTTTAAGGGTGCCGTACAGCACCTTTATCAAATGATGCTATGTAGAACCATAAGAGGAACTACATTCTCCTCCTCAGATTTTAGATGTCCTTAAGGGGGACCTTGGGGCCGAAAAGTTCACAACCATGTTGTCTTTAGGAAATACACTGTATTTTAATGTCGTTTAAAACCCCTTTCCCAACTAAACTAGGAGAGAATTAGAGAACCTTTAAAGAACTATACAGGGGCTCATCGGGTTCTTTATATGGCAGTGGTGGTGCTATATAGCACCTCAACCACCCCAAAGAACCACTGAAGAACTATTTGTGTGTGTGTATACCTGGCAAAAGCTTGGGCACTTTACTGAATGAGTTTCTCCTTTTAAAGATCTTTGGATATAAAGGCTTTTTCTTAACCCCTTAACTGTCACCGTCCCACCTGTGGGACGCTTGGCACTCTTTTTTGTTGTCCTTTTTCTCTATCAAATCTTTTAGTAATCATCATAAATCATATATCATTTGAAAGCTTAGAAGCCCAAGATTAATCCTGCGAAAACCATTTTGAAATCGGACATTGCGTTACCATAGAAATTGTACTTTAAAATCTTTTGGCGGTCTCCTCCCCCTTAGTGGGCGGTGTCAAGTGTCATATTACAAAATGCATTATGCTCTTTTACAATCAAAACTTTTTATAATCTTGACAAAAAACATATCATTGGAAATAATTGGCAAAAATTGGTCTGAGTCTCAGGATTCCATATTTGGTGGTTATTGTGAGATAGAAGTAATATTGACAGAGAAATCTAGACATTTGTGACAGAAAAATGCATTAAAAAATGTAATGAAGTTTGGATGGCACCCGGTGGCTGTCTGTGGTATAACACCCTAAATAAAATCTCACAGGAACCTCAATTTTGTTCATATCAACTTCAAATTTGGAACATAACTTATTTAGACATAAGGCTTTCATTTTATACCAATTTTAGAGTAAAACCTGTTATGTAAAATATTATATATAAAATAAAATTAATATAGTGCATTTTCTTTACAGTAAATTTAAACTACCATAACTTTTTGATACTTTCATTTTTTTTTTAATTCCACTTTTGCGATAATCTGCTGATTTTCTTCTTTAAAAAGAGACCAAACGTATGTCTGTATTCCAAAGTGTTCATAAATTACAACAATTTAAGTTTGGATAGTGCACCTGCACGCCTATTTTAAAAAATGGGGGGTGACAGTTAAGGGTTGAGTATAAATCATGCCTTTGTATATGAATTTCTTCACAAAACCAAAAGTTTATTATTGTTATTATTTTTTAAATTAAGGAAAAGCAGCCACCAAGTGCAGCACATGAGCTCCTTCAATATGATATGAAAGTGTCTTAGTAACTCAAGTTGGTTGAATGCACAGTGTGCAGAGCTGCTGGAATCTAGGCAAAAAGTGACAACTTCAAAGAAGCTAAAAGACAAAAGTTTTAATTTAACATTTTATTTGCGTTATTTCATTGTTTTGTTTGTACTATTCTTCTTAACTGTGGAATATGATACAAATAAAGAATGAGGTGTGTCCAAGCTTTTGTGCATAAGAGAAGAAAATAGTGTTTGGATTATGCTTGAATAGAATAGAAACACACACACACACACTTTTCAAGTTTCAAGCTTAACTGTGATATTTTATAGCTTTATGATGAGGTGTTGGAAGAAATATCTCTATTTGAATGGTTGGGACCTGATTCAGTACATGAAGCTATGAAAAATGGAAAAAAGACTACATAAAAGACACACCTTCAGCAGTCAGACATATAAAGACCAATCAGAATTTTAATAGAAGCACACCCCTGTGTTATGAAACTGGCCAAAAAACACATAGCAAATCATTGACCACGTCAAACCATACAATTGTTTTTTGACAGTATACTGTAAATAAGTCTTGCTTGCCAGCAGATGTCACCATAAAGGCATGCTTCTCAACTGGTTTGGCTTCAGAAATCGGATTAAAAAATTTTGAAGTTCAAAAAAGCGTGTTTAATTACAGCTCATTTTACAGTAATGTCTACTGGAAGAAATCGCATTCTGTTTAAAAAATACTCTTAGAGAGCATTTAAAGTGCAGCCTCCATATATA